GGATGCTTTTTCCCCTCCCAAACCATGTTATGAGGCTGCTGGAATTCCTGGTGGCAGGAGGGATGCGGTGGTGAGGAGCTTCCCTGATATCCTGCTCTTCCTTGGAAGGTTTGTCCCTCCTGCTCCATGAATCCCTGTCCAGCTCCAGCACTCTGGGAGCACTTTTTCCCGACCCCGAAAGACACTTCCGTTTTCTTCCAGCATCATCCAGGTGTTCCTGGAAAATGCCAGGAACCGCCCAGGGTTCTGGGCAGGGCCATCCCTCGCCGGCTGTCAGACGGGATCTCTCCAGCGATGGGAAGGGGAGAGCCGGGGATTCGGGATCGGAGCTGGGCGGAGCTCTGGCAGCTCCAAGCCCCAAACCCATCTGATTGCCCACCAAAATCAGTTGGTTTTAAAGGAACTTTCTCCCGCTCAGTGCCAGGCTCTGTGGCTCAGCCTTCCTCCTCCCTCCTCTTTGCTCCTCCCTCCTCTGCCTCCTTGGCTTTTCCTGAAGGCTCCAGCTCTCATTGGGCTGCCCAGATCCTCTCCCCTCCCCCTGCCCCAAAGGCAGATCCCTATTCCTGATAATCCCCTTTTCCTGATAATCCTCCCAGCCCCTCTAGATCCTCCGATCTACCTCTCTTTACTCTGATCCCTTTCCCTCTGCCCTTTCCCTATCCCTGATCCTCCATCTCCACTCCTGGCTCAGTTCCTTTAAAATCAACTTGGGTCAAATTCCAAGGTGGTTCCTAAACGGGAATGAAATCCCTCAGCTGCCGTCCGGAATCCCAGGGCTCCGTCCTTCCCCTCGCCTGGAACACTCTGCGCGCGTTCTGCTGTAGCTCCAGCTGCCTCCAAGCGTTGCTTGTGCCTAACCCTGGGAATTTGTCATGGCTTTTATGCTGAAAAACGAGAGGACCCCAGCCCTGTCCCTTGGAAGGACATGGGAAACCCTCGGCTCCAGAGGGATCCGTCCCAGTGTTCCCGTACAAGCCATGGCAAACTCCATGTCTAACCCATCTCTGCCCAATCCTGAGGGTTGTTCCCACTCCGACTGCGCTTACGACTGACCTCGGCATCCCCATCCACCTGACACTAACCTGTGTGGTGGGATAACCCTGGGATACCGAGGAGCTGGGATAGGGAAACATTGGGATAGAGGGAAGCTCTGGGATAGGGATTCCGTGGTGGATCCTAGGCACAGTCTCTGCCATGTCCCTTGTGCCCGGAGTCCTGGAAAAGAATTCCTGGTGGGATGCTCTGCGGGATCCATCCACAGGACTGTGGGATCCATCTGTGGGGTGCTGAAGCTTTTCCTCTCCATCACTGCTCCCTTCCAGGCTGTCCTGGCAGAGGGATTTGGGATTTGGGTTTGGATCTGTCAGAGCTGTGGGATCATTCTGCCAGCCTGGACAGGGACTCACTACTTTTCCTACCTGGCTTTGGGAGTTGGAGAGCTCCAGGTGTTCCCTCACCTGCTGCCAGCTTCTCTGTGGGATGAGGCTCGGGATCCGCCTGGAGGAGGTTGAGGCTTGGTGGGCTTTGGGGTCACTTCTGCTGGCTCTTCTCATAGGGATCCCTCTGGAATCCCACTGTAACCTCTCCTTCCTTCCTCCCTTGCTCCCTGCTCCTGCTCCTGCTCCAGGTGATCCGCAGGGGGTGGCTAACCATCAACAACATCAGCATCATGAAGGGCGGATCCAAGGAATACTGGTTTGTGCTTACGGCCGAGTCGCTCTCTTGGTACAAGGATGAGGAGGTATGGGGGGAAAATCGGGTTGTGTGATTCCCAGGGCTCCAGTGGAGAGATCCTTGGGATGGGGATGATAGTTAGTGCCCAGGATTAATTACAACCAGGAGTGCCGGAGGTTGGGGCATCTTTGGACACTGTGGTCCTGGCTCTCGAATTCTCCATCTCCGAACGCTCCCCCAGACCTTAGGCTTGTGTAAACCTGAAGACAGTGGCAAGTTCCAGGGGTCCAAGAGGCCCTGGCTGAGTCTGGGGGCAGGGTTTCCTTGGCTCCCAGCCCTGGCTCAGCGGACGCTTCCCAGTTTAACTGTGGAGCCATATGGAAGGGAGGGAAACAGGCACGCAGGGTGGGGAGACCTTGATTCCCTCTGGGAAGAACTGCTACTCGTTTATCCACCTCATTTATCAGGTTGGGAGCTGCATCCACAGCCCTCGGGGCAGAGACACCTGGGGGCCCTTTCAGGATTTGAGGGGGACACGGGAGGGTCAGGGTGGGGCCGGAGCCCAGCACAGGGTCAGGAAAAGGAGACATGGACATAGCTTTTATTTCCTGGGAGCATCTGGACACAGTGCACGGGATCAAATCCCGGTTTTGCTTTGTTCCTCTAGTCTCTTCAAGGTGAAGGTCTCCCGTATCTGTGGGGCCCAACTGAGCCCCCTCACCTCCTTAATCCCCCCAAAAAGAGAAGGAACACGTTGAGCTGATCCCCCCTGGAGCGATCCTGGTTT